TTTTCAAAAGTAGCCACTAAAATGGGTACCAAAAGTCATAACTATAAAGAATTTGATCAACTTGTACATTTGAAAACTGGAGGATTAAGCCTATCTCATCATATTGTCGAAAAGAAAGATGACCCAAACAGTTTTGAAGACGGAATAATGTTTTCTTCCTATGCTCTTGATACAAATGTTGAATCAATGTTTTCAATTTGGAATGAAATGTTCAATGAAGTAAAATTTGATGACAAAGGGAGATTAGAAACATTAATGAAATCAAATGCTGTCAATATGGTAAACAGACTTGCTGAACAGGGACATTTGTATGCAATGAGTGCATCTGCTGCTTTAGTCAACCCTGCCTCTCTCCGAAGTGAAGAAATCTCTGGATTACAGCATGTAAAATGGTTTTGTAATCTTGTTCAACAAAGTCAATATGAAATAATTCTCTCCAAGTTAGATTCAATTGCCAATAACTTATTTAGCAAGAGATTCATGAGGATAGCAGTAAATGCATCGCCTGAAAGTGAAGTTGCACTGAACTCAACCTTGGACTCTTTTATTAAGTCAATTCCAGGTTCTTTTGAAAAGCCTATCGTCACAGTGGACAATAATGGATATATTAAACCAAATAAATATGGTATTCATTATGAGTCTTCCCTTCCTGTAAGCTACACAAGCAAATCTATTCAGACTGTTCCATATCTACATAAAGATTACGCACCTCTTAGGATTCTCTGCAGATTACTATCTTCTAAATATCTTCTCCCAACAGTGAGAGAAAAGGGAGGAGCCTATGGCGCTGGAGCTCGACTTAATTCAGCCGGCGTGATATCTTTCTTCTCTTACAGGGACCCCAACCCTGCAAAAACCTTCAATGTATTTGATGCGTCATTAGATTGGTTGAACAAGAAAGAGTTTACAGGTAAAGACATTGAAGAAGCAAAGCTGGGTACTTTTCAAACTGTGGATGCACCAGTCCCTCCTGGTGCTCGAGGCACAAGACAGTTTCTGTATGGAATCAGCGATGAAGAATTTGCAAGACATCGCCTTGAACTGATGGCTGTTAAAGAAGAAGATGTCCTGAGAGTAGCATCAAAATACCTTGATCCAAGCTGCACCAGTTGTGAAGGTAGAGTATTATTTGGACCCAAAAACACAGAAGTATCAAAAAGACATGGTGAGCAGTGGAAATTGGAGCAGATTTAAAGACATAATGTTTGTACATAATTAAAAATAACTGAAAGTTGATAGATTCTGTACAAATGAGACTTTTTATAAATTTAGGTTTCATGTACAGTTTGTAAATACAATTTTTTTGTTATCTTGATTTTTTATTTCAAGCTCCATTGTCCATTTACTAGCACAATAAGATTGATAACTATTAACCAGTTATTTTTTTAGTACTAGTACTTATTTTGTTATCTGAAAATTCCTTCAATTTACCTCAAGTCTATCACATAAAAAACACAAGCTTAAATTTAAACAATTAGTAATTTAGGATTCTCTTGGGAGATTCAAGGTGTTATTAAATCAGTAATGTAGCATGTCAGCGTAAATATATCAGTGGCAGATAATAAATATACCCCTGCCACAGCAAGTCTGCAGACTAAGCGAACGGATTTCCATTTACCTGGCTGGATTTCTACAAAAATATTCTCTGAAAATGGTCAGATTTTTTCCTGTTTAAATAACATTATTTTAATGAGTACCTAGGTTTGCCTGCTACATGGAAGGTAGGTGATGTGTGTATAAAGGTCCTGAAATGCTGTGAAAAGATCTTCATTTCAGCTATTAAGACCTAAGATCTTGAATCAGTACCAGTGTACTTTCTGTTTGGGGTCCTCAAAGCCCTATAATTCACAGTTTTCTCAATCAATATCTATTATCCTATACTCTGATACGAGCTATGTCTGTCTGTAATATATATGTCGAAATCCAGCAGAAGGATTTTGAATAAGTTGTGTATTATTCCAGATCGAAATGAAGTTTTAAAAGGTCTTATATGCCTCCAAAGTTGAAATAGGTAGTTCGAATAAATAAACGAAATAGCTGGTTGATGCAATAAGCAGATGTTTTTTTATTATTTGAAATATTTTTTACTTTCTCCCCCAACAACAAAACAATACTTTATCCATATACTATGGTATAGACCATAGTATATGGATAAAGACAAGTATTGTTTTCGTCAAAGTGTTTGAGTTTTGAGTGGATATATTCGTTTTGGGTCCCGGGGGACCCAAAAAAGTGGTTTTCGAAGTGATGTCTGTCTGTGTGTGTCTGTATCTGTATGTGTGGATGTGTACATAGCTACAGACTATACCTGTGGTCCGACTTTGATGAAATTTGATATGTAGGTACTAATCCGTGGTATTTCCAGGCGTTTATTTTCATTTTTTTTATATATGTTGATTGTTAATGTTGATTTCCCATAAAATAACGGGAAAATCTGATCTTTCCAAAAATGGTCCGAACGATTTTAATAAAAAATTTGTACGTTGTGGCGGTTGTGACTCTTTAAATTCTGAACAAAATTGTATAACTCCCATTCCTGTAAAAATTTTGGTTAAAAAGTTATTGTAAATTATGTTATTTTTTCATAAAATAAGAGAAAATAGTATTTTCCGAAAAATCTAGATTTGATTGAATTTAGTATGTGATAATCCTTATAATTCTTAATAACCCATTCCTGTAAAAACTACGGTTCAAAATCATTGTAACTTCTGTTATTTTCCCATAAAACCCATGAAAAACGGAAAATTGATTTTAAAAAAACCCACATTCGTGTAAAAATTACGGTTCAAAAGTTAATGCAATATGGTGATTTTACCTATTAATCGTAGTAACTCGTTGCTTACCCATGATAAAATGTGGTTGACAAGCTAATGGAACAAAGCATGTGTCAGATTGCTGATGCATCTACCATTCCCCCTTCCAGTTGTTCTATTGACTGATTTGATATGTTGTAGTCTATATTTCTGTCTTATCTATATATATTAGCCCAAGTGAGTATTAAGAATAGTAAATATGTGCATGAGAGGTTGACTTCTAAAGTGCAAGTAAAAGCCAAGATATACGGTGGGTGATAGCGTGAGAATTTCCAAGTATAACCATGTATTTAGTAAAGGATATACCCCGAACTGGACAGGGGAGCTATTTACAATAGCTTAAAAGATGAAAATGGCAATATAATCAAGGGAGGATTCTATACAGAGGAGTTGTTAAAGACCAAGTATAAAGACGTGTATTTGGTAGAGAAGGTGATTAGGAGGAAGGATGATTTGTTGTATGTCAAATGGGAAATGGCTTGGACTCCCAAGTAGCCAGAATTCATGGATTTCCGCAAAGGATGTTGAGAAGCAAGCCTAAGGGAGCACGCAGCCAGGAGCGCGCCCGAGTTTGCGTGCAAATCACGCTCGATTATGAGAATATACATGTGAATGGGTGTGGATTTGAATTTGTAATGGAGTTGTACATTTGTATGGGCTTGTATAGGCCGAGAGCAAGTTTAAGAGGCATATCCTAAAAGACAAAGGAATGGCAATATTAAACAGCTCGTATGGCTAATATATATAGATAAGACAGAAATATAGACTACAACATATCAAATCAGTCAATAGAACAACTGGAAGGGGGAATGGTGGATGTACTAGCAATTAGGCATGGGGCGAGGGAGTTGCCCCAAAAACCTCGCGCCTCAAAAAATGGCGGTGACAACATATACTACTACACACCGCTGGAGATGAGAAGCGTGGGGAGCACGCCCGAGTTCTGGTGCAAATCTCACATGATTTTGAAAATATATGTTGATTTTTAATGTTAATGGAGTTGTATAGTAGTATAGGGGATCTATAGGCAAAGATCAGGATTTTTGGTTTTGATGGATAAAAATGATCCCCATGTTATTCTTATGGGAAATAACTCCTAAAGAGGCGTCATACCGGCATATTGCCACTTCTGGATTTAGAAAATGCATGCTTTCAACACGGACTGTGTTGCGTGCTCACGTGGTGGTAGGTATTTATACACCTAATGAAAAAAAAAAAAAAAAAAAAAAAAAACTGATTATCCACTGGCTATTAAGTAAAATATTCTATCCATTTAAAATAATAGTTCTTAAGCGCAGCAACGCGCGCCGGGTAACTGCTAGTCCTCATTAAGAATAACATGGGAGTTTTAAATTTACAAATTTAATTAATTTAATTTCTTTATTTACCTGTCGCAATGCAGAGCCCGACCTCTTCATCCATGCCGCACTCCCTGGCCAAGGAAGTGGCTGGCTTCTCACGACCCACTGAGAATACCCTCGGCAGTGCAGAGCACACAACCGCTGCAACACAACTGGGGGTGGGGGCACTCCCAGTGAGAGCGTCTATCACTCTTTTAGTCGCCTCTTAGGACAATCCCGAGAAGGCTGCGGTCCTATTCTAGCCCGGTACCGAACGGGGAGGAATTTATATGGACTATTTGATTTGATCGATAGATTAGGCTACTTCCTTTTAGTGCGTTTGTCCTCCTCGTGGATCAGCTGAAGAATTGTGTAATGTTTTCCTCAGCTTTTTTAGAGATAGGCTAATCATATAATTTGAGTAGTTTTATTTCAGAGTGAGAGTACTCTTAATTTCGAGTAAATTTTAATCTTACTGATCAGAACTACCATTATGAAATAGGTACTATCATTCCAAGCTCTTACAATTCCAGACTAATGAAAACCCTACGAGCATCACAATCGAGTTAGAATTTATATATTATATAATATATATAATAATATTATATATTATATAATATTTTAGAATATAGTGCAAGAAGTAGAAGTGTTATTATTTTGGTTAGACCCTAAACGGTTAGGGGTTCTAGCTAAACTATCTCCAAAAAGGCAACCAAAAATTATATGATTGTAAAGTTGCATGGTGAAAAATACACTTAGCTAAGCATGCTTCTTGTTCCTTTGTGGCTAAGTCAAGATGAAGAGGAAAGAGGAGAGGAGAGGAGAGAGAAGAGAAGAGAAGACTGCAAAATCCAAGATGAAAATAAATAATGATTGACGACAAAAGGCAAAAAAGTAAAAAGTGTATTTTATTTGAAAACGAAAACTAAAAAAACTGACAACCTACACTGACACTGGACACTATTAAGTCTTGTTACTAGTTTTGCTTTGTATTTTAGCCGTTTCTTTAAGAATCTCGATCTGTCGATTAAGTGTAAATGTAACAGATGTTCTAAACATGTTTTAGGAAGGTTTCTTGGTTATAACAACTTGGAATTGTAACATAACCTCCCATAAGGTACTTCTGATAATTTTAACTTTGAACCATGGCAGGATTCAGCTTTGGGGCGCCAACAACATCAGCACCATCCTTTTCCCTTGGAGGAAACACGTTAGTAGAATATTTATTTACAGGAGTAATTTAACGAGCAATTAACATAGGTAGGTAGGCACCTAAGTTAGCCTACCCTAATTTAAATCTTGTAGGCCTAGGCCTAGGCCTATGTTAGTTCTTTCACATCTTGGCTAGAGATGGGTCAAGTCACAGTTCTAATAAAAAAAGGGTATGTCAGCCTATACTTCGGCCGCTTAGAAAGCGAACTGCGTGCTAATGCTAACCAAGGCTGTGATACACCAGGTACTAAATTTTTTGAATCCAATAAGTAAGTTAATCTGTTTCTAAATCCCAAGTCGGCTTTCGAGGGGGCCTGTCAACTATGGACGCAGTTGGTAGCCTTGTTGCTGCTTAAAATGGTTTTGAAAAGCATGAAAGCACACTCACCACCATGTGTGACCTTTCTAATGCTTTCGACTGTGTTCCGCACGACATACTTTTCACAAAAACTTGAACAATACAGCATAAGTTAAGAGGTGTGGAGCTAAACTTTTTTCGGACCTATTTGTTTAACCGCACACATAAAGTCTTGTACAATAAGTTCTCTGAGGGGACGGTAATGAAGAGTGGCGTGCCCCAGGGATCGGTCCTTGGCCCATTTCCATTCTTAGTTGTAATTAATGACTTGCGTCTTAATGTTAATTGTAATTCCATAATTTTTGCTGATGATTCAACTTTTTTCTGCAGTAGACCTAATCACAGTTTAAGTTAGATAACCTTAATGTTCATATGATCAAGTGTCTCATTGAATATAACGATTGGTTCAAAAGTGGCGGTTTTCTATTGAATAGGCCTAATAGACTCAATCTATTCTATTTAGGCCTAGTTTATGTAACCATGATTCAAATTTTTCTCAACTCTGTATGATAATGTTAAGTTATTGGGTATATAACCTCGGTTATAAATTAGGCTTGAGTGTACACATTAACCATGTTTGTAGTAGGCTCTCAAGAGTAATTTACTTACTTCGCAAGCTTATAAAATATATCCCTAGACACTACCCACGGATGGCCAACTTTTGCCTTCTTTAATAGCATTTTAAGCTATGGTATTTTACTGTGGGGCTGTGGTCATGATGTTAGTACCTCTTTAGAATCTTGCTCCTCCTACAAAAGAAGGCTCTAAGAATCATTACATTTTCTAAGTTCAGAGCCCTATGTAAACCCTTGTTTATTCAGGAAAAAATACTCACTGTTTTTAACTAGGCCTAATTAATGTGTGTCTTTGGTAAAGGTAAATATTAATTCTGTAGGTTTAACCCATTGGCGCCGACTTATGAGCGTTACTCGTACGGCCGCTGCAGGCCTGGAGGCTGACTTACCGTTCGCTAGTTTCTAGCGCTGCCAGTCATCGTAGTTCCACAAAAATCCGATAGATAGGATAGGAGTCAAATGCACTTCTGTAGATATCTGTGAATCCCGCTGACTGTTTGTGGACCATAACATATAATTTTTATCCCATTAAAACAAATTTTATTCCTGTTAGAAAGACACACATTTTTCGCTGTTGTGAATGGTGGTCGCTGCTAAATTGTAACAAAGTAAAATCATTTTGTATAGTAATTTAGGGATTTGAATGCTAAACTATAACAAACTATATTGTTTTTACTTGGTGCAACACTGTTTACCACTGAAATAAACGTCAGCTGTCAGCATAGTTTGCATTTCAAGAAGTAAACATAGCGTTGATGATCTTCAGAGTTATTGTTTGTTGTGATTGTGTAACTGAATGTCACTTAGTAGTGTTTTACTAACCGTATTATGATTGATAGCATCGATAAATTGAGAAGTGTTTTGTGATGGAAAACCTTCGTAGTTCTGAGGTGGATAGACTACTACTTGAAAGTGGGAGTGAGGATGAGTATGACGACGAATTAGAAGTAGTAGGCCTACATGACCAACACCAAAATCAGTGGAATGACAATTTGGTTTTAGCTGGTCTTAGTTCCGAAGAATTAGACCGCCTACGTGAATTTGATGTGCTAGATTTTGATGCTACAAACTTTGAAAGTATTTAAATCGAAAGTGAAAATAGTGCGAAAAATGGGAATACTCTACTCCACGCCGATACAACCGATCAAGATAACGACGAAGTTGAAGAGAACCTTTTTGAGAATTATGTCCCAGATTATGAAGCAGTAAGTTGTAATGATATCGACAAATGATATCGAAATTGGTCAGGGTGATCATGCTTTACAGCATTGTTTAGTAGATGAAGTTACTACTGGAATTAGTAAACAAACATAAAGAAATCGTACCTATACAACCTGTTGAAAAAAGCAGGGCGGACTCTTAAGTGGTTTTAGCTAACTAATGTTACTGATCCTAGTACTTCTCAAAAAAGAAAAACATGCATATCTAACAAAAAACGGAATAGGCCTACCAGTAAAAAAAAGTTTCAAAAAAACAAACAGTGGGCAAAATACAATTGCCAGTAGCCTACCAGGCAAACCAAAAGCAAACCAAACAAGAAAAACAACGAGACTAAAAAATTCATTGATAGTGATTGGCCTTGGTTGGATGAAGATAACAAGCCTAAAGACATACCCTTTACCGCAACTCCAGGCATCAACGAACCATATTTACGGCGCCTAGGCGATAATCCTACAGAGTTGCATACACTCATGCAGATACTTGGGGAAGAGTTTTGGCAGATGATCTGTGTCGAAACAAATGATGCGGAGAAACAAATAAGCATTGAGAGGAGAACAAAGCTGAAAAGTGATGTCAAATGGCAGAAAGTAACTCCAGGTGGCCACCAGCTAAGAATCAAAATCACATAAGAACATTTAAATACACTATGACATATACAACAATATAATACCCAACAAATATAACAATACTTAAGCTAAACAAAATTACAGGCTAGATATTCTGGCAAAATCAGGTGGAGTCATGTCCATGTGTAGATCTCACTCTCAATGTCTGTGTTATTGATGCTATAAAATTCCACTAGTCCTAGAGCAAAGTCACTGCAAAAATTATCGTTCAACCAAGAACTATGTGTCCGAAATCCTCAATGATGTAGGTTTGCAGCAGTCATGTTGGTCTCAGAGAAAGATAAATAGGCCTATTGTACAAATTGGAAAATTCTTACTTTTGGTACGAAGGTGTCGACCCACGATAGTCCATAGGCTAAGGCACACACGGATAATGCAGGCACTGATGAGTCATCCAAACAGCTGACGGTAGCTTTCACTTGAAATTGCTAAGCTGGGTTGGTATTGGGATTTTGTAGTTCCTTCAATTTCAGAAAGCAAAATGTGAACACTCTTGCAATGTATTGGGCTTCAAGCAGACTGTAGGCTAGCACTACAGCTGAATAAATTCTTGAGATACATGAGGGGGCCAACCTCTGTATTTGAAAGTAGCAATAAAATTGTGAATGTTACATCGTCTACCGTGATTCAGCAATATTCTGAGAAACCGTAGCGGCTCTGTAGATATCATCATTGTTCATCGTCTTGCGTTGCGCAATCACGGTAAAAACATGATCATATCCCGCGGCCGAATGTAGACATATTATCGTCTCCCGCAATCACGGATAAGTCACTGTTCTCATGCGCGATCGCGGTAAATTGAAAATTCCAGGTAGAAATACAAAATTCACGCATAATTTCCGGTTCAAATAACTCACGCGTAATTCACGGATTTACCGGTATTTCTGGTCCGTGGACACCCTGTTGTTGTATATTGCAAAGGGGCGCTACTATTAGTTTTGCCTATGGCGCTGACAGGGTCAAAAACGGGCCTGGTATACTGTATAAAAATATTGGATTTTATGTACAAACCAAAGTATCTCTTTCTATACTTATTTATTGTTTTGTTAACATTAATTAGTTTTGTCTTTGACAGAAAGGAAGTAACCACACAGTCCTATTGTTTGCCTCAATGAAAATGCATTTTCATTTGATATAAGTTCTGAGATCCTTTCATATTTTAAACAGGTCGACCGGGGGATTCAACTTTGGAGCAACACCCGCCACGACATCAGCAGCCACTAATCTTCAGTTTAATTCTCCAGCGTCTACATCAGGCAAGTCACATTTGCTGAAATCATAATTTCATATTTTTTAATTACATAATATTAATTTATTTATATTCACAACTCAGATAAAGTATATTTACAAAAAACAACTTTATTACACACATAATATGTATTAATTATTTGGCAAGTTGGCAAGTATTTCCATGGTTCAAAATCACACAATCCCTGAAAACAAAAATCTTTGATATTTGGCAAGTATTTCCATGGTTCAAAATCACACAATCCCTGAAAACAAAAATCTTTTATGGAAAAAAGTTTATTATAATTATGATAATACCAATTCACTAGCCTAGGTTATATACAGAGTGGCTGCACCCCAAGTACCTATATAACTTTTCAACCCCCCCCCCCTTAACTTTTCAACAATTTGAGATATTTGAATTCGGTTTGCGGCACCCTTCTTAGAAATTAGGGGCTACAATATGGTTAGTTTTGAAAACTTTGCCCTTAGGGGGTAGGGGGTAGCTCAAAATCTTCAAATGGCAAGTATAGTCGAGTTTAGTATCATTTTACAGGTCTTGACAAAACTAAACAATTGACATTTAGAAAACGACATTGACACAAAATGTTATAAGACATATCTTTAATTTACTTTCCGTAAATTTAATAACACGTAAAATGCTGATCAAGAAGTTATATAAAGAAAACCTAAATCGGACCAATAATAACAAAATGGCGCTCTCCTCTGCAAGAATAGGTCTTCTCATGCTGGTGCTGCTTTTCTGGTTATGTTCCTTGACATTTTTCCATTAGAATTTCAATTTTCCTACTTGGCACAAGTGTTAATTTTCTTTCACAAACGTTGTTAATTCCCCATGACCACACTAATCCTCCCATAAGGGTGGGAACCATTACTTTGTTAATCATTAGTCATCTAAATCAAATAAGTTCATAACATTATTTTGCTGTAGGAGGAACTGTCTCCTTTGGTGCCAATGCTAACCAAGCCAGTTCTGGATTCTCTTTTGGTGCTGCCCCCACTACTCAGCCAGCTGCCCAGTTTAAGCCAGGAGGGTTTAGCACAACAAATACACAGCAGCCGACAGGTCTAACATTCGGTTCAACACCGGCCACAACACAACCCACCATCAGTTTTGGAAGCACGCCAGCGACCAGTCAGACTCTCAGTTTCGGCAGCACACCCGCTGCCACCTCACAACCCCTCAACTTCAGTGGTGCTGCTCAACCTACTCTCAGTTTCAGTAACAACACTGCTGCCACACAAGCAGGACTTACATTTGGATCTACCCCAGCAACCACCCAGAATACACTCAACTTTGGGCTCTCCACTCCTGCTTCTTCTGCTGGTAAGCTTAGTTTCGGTATACAACAGACAATTCTCATTATAGTAGTGTTAACTTCAAATACAAAATTATACCTAAGGTGTCAATTAAGGTTGCATAAGATGTTTCATTTTTTAAATTTAAAATCATTATTTTCCCTTACTTTTGTGGAATATCTTACAAAATATTTTTGTTTATAGCTACGGTATATTACTTCTAATCAATATTTTCCAGTCTCCAAGATATATTATAGGTACATCTTTTTGTTTTATATCTTAATTGAGTTCTTTACCATACTTGCTAACGTACCGTACATGATTAAGTTTTTCTTATGCCTCAATAGGCAACGGGCCTAGCATGCCATAAACACAATTTTTAGCAAACTTTTCTGAGCAAATTACATTATGGAACAGTTACATGTACAACTGTATGTTATCTGTGTAGGTACAGGGTTCAGCCTGGGAGCTGTTGCTACACAAGGTACAGGTCTAGCTGCCAAACCAACTCTGACATTCGGCAGTGCTACCACTACTGCTGCCTCCACTGCTTCTACTCCATCTTTGCTCAACTTTTCTGCTCCGAAAACTACTGCTTCTACAGGATTTTCACTTTCAGGTAAGAAGAAAATACCACCTATTCTTAAAAACTTGCATTTTGAAAATGGACCCAGCTGTCCTTGATCATTTGGCTTTTAATAAATGGTCTTGACTAAATGAAACAGCTGGTCTTAGTCAGTAATAAAGCTACACAATGCATCACACTCCATTATGTACTCATATTTGGGTTAAAATATGCACATAGGTGGCAAGGCGTATGAAAGAAGGTGTGTGCATAGTGACGTCAGTGCGAGCAAAACGTGTTTTATTTTCCCAAATCATATGTTTTCTTTCAATTTCCCAAAGACATTCGAATGACAATCATTACGAATTAGCATTGAATATATAATACTATTTAGCGTTTTGTAACCAATATAGTGTTGTATACAATATTGAATATACTGCAGTAGTGTTATATAGTATATTCAATGGTGGTAGTATATAACATTTTGATAGTGAGTACCTTTTAATCGAAAAACAGTAAAGCAGTAAATACTGTAACTGTGTCTGCCTAACAGGCAATATATATTTGGGTGACCATAAACAAATAGTTTTTTTGGTAATTATTTGGACGTAGTGACTACTCGCAAAAGTGAAATTTTTGTTTTTCATAATGACCTAAATTTCACGCTGAATCCGAATATGACGTTTTTATTTTTCGGAAAATACCGGAAATTCCCGAAAAAAGGGAAAAACGGGAAAACATATTTTTTACTCAAAATACGTCATGTGGGTACTCAAAATACGCGGGATATTGTGTAGATTAAGAATATGCAAGAATTTTTTTGATCCGATGAAAAACACCGGAGATAGGGTGAAAAAACGGTGAATAATCGGTTAGGTTAGGCTTGGTTAGGTTAGGTTAGGTTAGGTTAGGTTAGGTTAGGTTCGGTTAGGTTAGGTTCGGTTCGGTTCGGTTAGGTTCGGTTCGGTTAGGTTTGGTTAGGTTTGGTTAGGTTCGGTTAAGTTTGGTTAGGTTCGGTTAGGTTAGGTTAGTTTAGGTTAGTTTATCAATAACATGAGTATTGTAAGTAAACTAACCTAACCTAACCAAACCTAACCTAACCTAATCTAACTCAACCTAACGTAACCTAACTCAATCTAACATAAACAATAATAATAAAATAAAGACCAGCTGATCAGCTGGTATTTTAACACAAACAAACGTTAAACAAAAAATCTAAAATAACATCGCACATTTTCGAGTTAGGTTAGGTTAGGTTTGGTTAGGTCAGGTTAGGTTTGGTTAGGTAAGGTTAGGGTAGGTTAGGTTAGGTTAGTTTACTTACAATACTCATGTTATTGATAAACTAACCTAAACTAACCTAACCTAACCGAACCTAACCTGACCTAACCAAACCTAACCTAATCTTACCGAACCGAACCTAACCTTATCTAACCAAACCTAACCTAACCTAACCTAACCTAACCTAACCAAGCCTAACCTAACCGATTATTCACCGTTTTTTCGCCCTATCTCCGGTGTTTTTCATCGGATCAAAAAAATTCTTGCATATTCTTAATCTACACAATATCCCGCGTATTTTGAGTACCCACATGACGTATTTTGAGTAAACAATATTTTTTCCCGTTTTTCCCTTTTTTCGGGAATTTCCGGTATTTTCCGAAAAATAAAAACGTCATTTTCGGATTCAGCGTGAAATTTAGGTCATTATGAAAAACAAAAATTTCACTTTTGCGAGTAGTCACTACGTCCAAATAATTACCGTTTTTTTATATAATACCTTTTTGCAGCCCCTACTTATGTTTTATATAATTGAAAATCTCTCATTTAAGTAGCCTTAGTGGAAAATTAATAGTTACAAACAAATTGTCAAGATTGTATTTACATATATTTACATTTAATTAAAATCTGTCGTTACTGTACGCGATTCACTAACGATTGTTTTTCAACCCACAGATGGATTCGAGCAAGGGTATCAAGTATCAAAGTATTCGTATCAAGTATTTACTGCTACTGCTTTACTGTTTTTCGATTAAATGGTACTTACTATCAAATGTTCTAGGCTACTGCCATATTGTATAACACTTCTACAGTATATTCAATATTGTATACAACACTATATTGTAGTGATGGGCGGATCCAAGAAAATGTCGGTACCGGATCCGGATCCAAATTTTTCAAGATCCTCGGATCCGGATCCAGATACACACTGTTTAAACACTTGTCACAGTACTGTATATTTCGACGTCAAACACCTGTATGGTTGGGCAATGTCACAGTACTGTATATTACGACGCCAATAACCTCTATGATAGGGCAATGTCACGGTACTGTATATTACGACGTCAATAACCTGTATGGTTAGGCAATGTCACAGTACTGTATATACGATGTCAATAACCTCTATGGTTGGGCAATGTCACAGTACTATGTATTACTACGACGATAACTTCTATGGTTGGGCAATGCACATTAAATTTACACTTTTTTGGAAAAATTTTTGTGACCGTTAGACATACAACTACCATAGGTGGCATGATAAGACCTAGGCCCGGGACCGATTTACTTTTTAATTTTGATGTCCCCAGAGGCCAAAAACACCATTTGTTCAATTTTACTTCCGTGAACTTGTTATTGTTTAATAATAACATATAAACTTGAATGAATTTGCGAACCAGCATAATTGGACCATGGGAACGGGGTTTTATGGGGTAAAAAATGGTTTTTCTCATTTTTTTTTCAAAACACAAAATTTCCCAATTTCTCTCTAAAGAACTAAAAAAAACAAATAATTTAGTATATCAAAGTGTTTTTTTACGGTTATTAGTAACGGATAAAATTCAGAAAATTGTAAATTTAAAATTCCCATGTACTGTAATTCTTATGGAGAATATTGTAAAATGTTGTAGTTTGCTTGTTTATAGATATATTTTGATCAAACTTGGCAAATTTATGTATTTTATACTAAGCTATTAATATTTTACTAAAAACACACTTAATTAGTTTCCTTGTAGTAGCAAACCTAGGTACTCGTTAAACCTAATGTTATTTAAAAATAGATTTGAAAATCAATTCAGACAAATGGGAATTTGCTTAGTCGGCAGGTTTGCTGCACTGGGTATTTTTTATGTCATGTTGGATTACCGTGGTTTCAATTATCCATGGCCTCCCTCCCCTCCATTACCCTCAATAATCGAGGTTATACTGTACTATATTTTAACCAAAATTGTTTTGGGAAAATCTTTCTGAAAATCTAATTTTTCTCTTATTTTATGTGTTTTTGTGGGAAAATCACATAACTATTTTCATTTGACCACCAATTTGATGTAAAACAGCTTTTTTATAAGAAATTTGTTAATTTTCAACTGAATACTGATCTGTACAACTTAGGCCAACAAGATGACGCATGCAAGATGAAAGGGCTTCTTCTTGCAAGAGACAAAATGTTTTGAAATAATGAATCTCATGCATTCAATGTAATCTGGGACAGTGTATATGAAGAATCTAGCTATCTAGCTATATATATATAATAGGCTAAGCCGTTTTTTGTTAATCGAACTCCTCCGTTATTATTCGCCCGATTTTGACGTTTGAGGTCTCAAAATAAAGGTTAAAACGTGTAGTTGTGCCCAACGGTATTAGATTTATGATAAAGTCGTTGGTAAGGGCGTCAGAGGCCCTTAAAGTCAGTTTTTTCTCCATAAGGATAACATGGGAGATATTTTTAATTTATAAAAACATATGTTTTTAGTTGAAAATAGTCAAAGTCTACTACATAAAAAATTAGTGTTTATTATGACTGTTAATGTATATTAAATTCTATCACGTTTGGTAACCAATGTATATTAAAGTATACTAATAATGGATCATACTACTTTATTTTAAAGCTGGGAATAGTAAAATTTAGTTGAGAAAAAGTTACCATGATTTACAAAACCGTAGGCTACTGTAATATTTAAAATCACAAACCCTTGACATTCATTAATTTGACACGAAACAGCTGATCTACCAGACAATTTATTTATAAATCAAAACAAAACAAATCCTATACTACTAATTCATGTTTGTTGCTATACAAATTTTTTTAAATTATTTGTTGTGTACCTAACCTAAAAATGGGACCCCAGAAGATTTGGCTGCACATTGTTCAGGTCTTGATACAATAGCCTATCCCTTGCTTTTCCCTTATGGAGGGATCGACTTGACAACTACACACTCGAGGCCCACAGGCTATCTGTTAGGCTTCAGTATTCTGCTGTGGTGGTAAGGTTAAACTTCAATATATAGTTGCAATTTTTACCAGAATTGAAGGTGAACGTCTCGGTTTCATTTATAGGGAACAGTCAAAACTTCGAGCAGAGCTATATATGAAACTTCATGACGCAATACGTGCACGAGCAGGAAATTAAATAGTTCAAATAGGCTAAAGCTGATAGGAAGCAGATGGATTCCCTATTTTGCCAGCAAAAATGCTTGGAGTTGGATGCGCTGTTTCATCCAACCAAACGTCGTTGAAAGTATACAAAATGGTCAAAATGAAAGACAAAGCCATAGCTCCAAAAACAGTGACTGTGATTTGATCAACAACAAAGTCTTGAAAAAGTTGCCAGGTGAGCCCAAGGTGTACGAAATCATTTATAGTTTGCTTGGAGATCATTTAAACGCCCATCTAGAATGCCCAGCAGAGTTTTTAAACAATATGGAGGTCGGTGGATTGCCAAGACACAGATTGATTTAAGAAACGGGGCAGTGGTTTTATTGATGAGGAATATCAATACACCAAAGGGCCTCATTAATGGAACAAGACTCCAAGTGGCCAAAATGGTTAACAATTTAATAGAATGTAAAAGTCCTAACTGGAACAAGTGAGAGGGGACATATTTTGATTCCGAGGATAAAAATGTGCCCGTTGGAAACAAACTTACCATTTAAAATGGAAAGCTGCCAATTTCTGTTAGCTTTATCATTTGCAATGATAATCAATAAAGCACAAGGGCAATCACTTAAAAGAGTAGCACTGCTCTTACCCAGACCAGTTTTCAGTCACGGGCTTT